GCAAGATACAGAAAGATGCCCCAATGCCAGATGCTTCTCCTGGCTCTTTAACGTGCAAAGAGTTTAAGCACTCATACAGGGGACCTTAATTTAAAGTCTCATCTGAAAGACTGATTAGTAGTTTTAGTTGGCCATCCCGGGAATGGAACTCACAATGTAGAGATTACAAGTCTCATGCTCTAAGCGATCAAGCTATGTGGGCTAGCTATATGTATGATAGTTTTTTTTCGTTTTTTATTTATTTTTTAATAAACAAGAGCTGTCGGAAGGACAGCACGCTCGACTATTCTAAGCGGTTGATATCAAAAGAGCCTTGATAATGTTAAATTTAGAGCTTTGATAATGTTAAATTTTCTAAGTTCACAAAAGGGCTAATTTTTTTATAAATTCATGTTATAGGCCTTAGAGAGAGTCTTATTATACAGTATTGGCTTGACTATTTGGGAGGTAATGTCACAAGGGTGTTTTATTGAGTATAATAATAGTAATTACCTATGAATACATGTACATAAAATTGACAGAAAAGGTACAAAGGCTTGTTATTAAGATGTTTTATCAAGTAAATCACTGCTTTATTATTATGAATGCATAAAATTGTCCCAAAAAAGGCACAAACCCTTCAGTAATTATGGAGATAACAGCTTACAAGCAAAACTTTACCATGAATTTCTAAGTTGAAAAAGGGGAGAAAAATCAGCCTAAATGCAAGATAGAATTATGGATCTTTGTCAGTGACCTACAATTATGACCCTGAATGCATATGTGAAGTTTTGAATAAATATCTTTAATAGAGTTATGGAACTTGGTCAGTGACATACAATTATGACCCTCAAAGTATGACCTTAAGTACATGTGTAAAGTTTCATGTAAATATCTTTGAAGACCTTTAACCAAAATTTTACAGGCAGAGTTATGCAATTTTGCAAACTGATGTACATTGTTACTATAAAAAAGTATTTCAAATTTCAATTGAATATCTCAAGCAATAGTTGAGATATTTGACTTTACAAAAAAACTTTAACCAAAATTTCTAAGTTCCAAAGGGGCATAATTCTGTCAATATTGTAGGCAGAGTTATCCAACTTGTCAATCTGATGTACCTTGTTACTATAAATAAGTATTGTAAGTTTCAATTGAATATCTCAAGCAACAATTGAGATATTTGACTTTACAAAAAACTTTAACCAAAATTTCTAAGTTAAAAAGGGGCATAATTCTGTCAAAATTGTAGACAGAGTTATCCAACTTGTCAATCTGATGAACATTGTTACTATAAATAAGTATTGTAAGTTTCAATTGAATATCTCAAGCAATAATTGAGATATTTGACTTTACAAAAAACTTTAACCAAAATTTCTAAGTTAAAAAGGGGCATAATTCTGTCAAAATTGTAGACAGAGTTATCCAACTTGTCAATCTGATGTACATTGTTACTATAAATAAGTATTGTAAGTTTCAATTGAATATCTCAAGCAATAATTGAGATATTTGACTTCACAAAAAACTTTAACCAAAATTTCTAAGTTAAAAAGGGGCATAATTCTGTCAAAATTGTAGGCAGAGTTATTCAACTTGTTAATCTGATGTACCTTGTTACTTTAAATAAGTATTGTAAGTTTCAATTGAATATCTCAAGCAATAATTGAGATATTTGACTTCACAAAAAACTTTAACCAAAATTTCTAAGTTAAAAAGGGGCATAATTCTGTCAAAATTGTAGGCATAGTTATTCAACTTGTTAATCTGATGTACCTTGTTACTATAAATAAGTATTGTAAGTTTCAATTGAATATCTCAAGTAATAATTGAGATATTTGACTTTACAAAAAACTTTAACCAACGCAGACGCCGACGCGGACGCTGACGCCGACGCCGACGCCGGGGCGACTACAATAGCTCTCATATTCTTCGAATAGTCGAGCTAAAAATGTTTTGGCGTTTAACTACAATGTACTAAAGGAAAAATCCCCCTGTTGAATGGGAAAATCCCATTTTCATTATAGACAGGGTAGACATTAAAGCATTGTTATTGTGTTTCTTCCTCAATGCTGAGATAGATATTTCAAGGCAGAAGATACTGCCTTATAAGCTGAAGCATTTTGATAACAATTATAGGATAATTAACATCAATAACTGTGATCTTACATTTTCCCAATTTTTAGATAAACACTGCCAAAATAACCTATCTTATGGTACATGTCAAGCAACTGGACTAACCCATGCAAAAAATTCTCATTTTCAATGTCATAATATATTTTTTCCTCTCTTTTTTGTTTTTTTTTTAAAAATCCCATAAATCTCTCAAAAATAAATAAATTTTCATATACAATTTTTATTTATTTACTTTTTTTATTACCTTAAAGCAGGATACCTTTAACCAAATACGCTATTGATATTTGCATTTTGCAAAATAGAATATATAATAATTTACCGGCAACATCCGGGATATCGTTTACATAAAATATTTCCCCTTCTCTTTAGAAGATGATGCAATTTTCCCCTACTTGAGGGCCCTTGACCCCCAGTCCCATATAAGGTAATAAGAACAATGGCAATTCATATTTACCCTAATATAACAATACTTTTTCAAGCACTATTTACTTGAAAACACAATGACTTTTCTTATAAACATTTATATAATTATGTCAATTAGTATTCATATAACTTCCTTGAATAAAATGATTATACCAGGACACATTTGTAATCTTGATTTTAATTACCATTTATATTATTTCTTTATAATACTGCATGTTTGTTACGCCACTTTTCATTGGATAGTCATGATGTTTATATAATTTTATATACACGCCTGCTATCAACTCATTTTTTTCTCTAAAAAACAAAGTTTGCCATATTATAAATTTATTATAAATATTCATGACTAGTTATATGGCCATATATAAAATGGTTGTTTGCAATATAACCCTCACCTAGCAGCTTGGGTTATATTTACAAACAACCATTCATATAGGGCCATATAACCTGTCAAAAAATCTTTACAAATAATAATAAATAGCTTTTTCATTCCTATATACATGGATTCCCTCAAGTTTTCAAACACATATACCATTTTGATAGGCAATCTTTACTAGATATTGTTAATAATATGGTTTTGCATAAATTTGTAGCTAATTTGTTATATAAACTTATAAAAGATATACTCATATTGGGCCATATAACCTGTCAAAAGTATGTATAATAAATATAATATATACATTATAAATCATATGAGCCGTGTCATGACAAAACCAACATAGTGTGTTTGCGACCAGCATGGTAATCATTTTATTCAAGGAAGTTATATGATGGTATATGCGCATCCGCGCAGTCTGATCAGGATCCATGCTGTTCGTTATCAGTTTCTCTACTTTAAAAATAGGGTTGGTAAGCGAACAGCATGGATCCTGATCAGACTGCTCGGATGCGCAGGCTGGTCTGGATCCATGCTGGTCGCAAACCCATTATGTTGGTTTTGTCATGACACGGCTCATATATAATCAAAGAGAGAATTATATTAAAATCAGATAATCAGAGATTAATAAAAGGACTTTTAAATTTAATGGAAGATACTCATTACATTTTTTGTTGTTGTTGTTTTTTAAAATCAGTGAGTGCAACACAAATTTTTTACATATGTTTAAAAATGACTATTCTCCCCTACATTTTACATCAGATAAAAACTGTTTCCCAAAGCCCAGGAAAGTGTTATTTTCCCATAAAAATGGTATCTCCTATAAAAATGCAAGTATGCACATATGTCACAAGAACCATGACTTAACAGCAGCTGACTTACATAAATTTAATGGACTGAAAAAAGAAAGCTGTCACTATGGATCAACTCTGTTATGTACCTTATGCATTAATGCAATTAAAATTGAAAATTTGATTAAAGATGTGTGACAGTCTTGAATTCTCAGATGTTACTGGTTGATTTCAGATTTTCCTTTTTTTTCTGATTTAATGTGCTTTAGTTTCCCTTTCTGGAAGCCATTGGTTTTGTTTTTTCCAGAAAATAAAAAAAAAATCATTAAAATTAACTTTGGTTCTTTGAATTTGCTATAAAACCTGTCACATGTCGATTATTTTTTTTTTTTTAGATTAGATTTAAGTCACATTGAACAGCTCAACAAATGGAAAAAAATCTTAGGTGACTTTCTGTTCATTATTTCTGGCACAAGTAAAAACAAACCTCCTGTAAGAACCACATAGCCCCCAACATACAAATTACCTAGCAGCTAGGATTCGAACATGTAGGTGTGACTGGTAAGTAAAGTGCAAATTATTCAAATTAGCTGCCATAACATTGACCATGATAGGGAGCTACTTCATTCTGAATGCCCCTTTATTTGTTTCTGTGTATTATCAACATGTATATCTCAAGCAATAAGATATTTAAAGTAGTAAACAAATTTTAAACTTACTGTATCATCCAAGAAAAAAGTAGTTATTTTAACTTGTAAACAAATTTTAAACTTATTGTAAAAGTAGTTCATAAATAATTTTGACTTTTTACACTGAACCAACAATCAAGATACAAATCGTTACATACCCAGAATAATTTAACATAAATTAAATCATTCATTATCTATGTCAATTTAATTAATTTTATATTATTAACAAGAGCATTAATTTTTTTTAGCTACAGTCGAACCACAAGATTATGACCATCTCCAAATCAGGACTTCCAGTGCTGTTATAACAGGCAAGGAAATCATTATTCATTTTCCATGAAGTTTCAATAAAGTCTTACATTTCATTTGAAAATTGTTACAAAAACCATGCTGTTTGCAAATATTATGTAATACGAAGAAACAAAACAAAGGGCCATAATTCCACCAATAAATGATGAAATTTCAAATAAACTAAAAACCCAACAATATGCACCAGTATACTAGGAACTACATGTCAATAGGAGTAATCTCCCTTGGAATTTCAAATGAACTGCATATAAAAATCTATTAAAGTGATACTTCATCTGAAAAAAAAATGTAGTCACTTACCTGAAGATATCTTTCTTTTTCTCGATTTTATTTGCTCAGTTTTGCTTGGTTCAACTTCTTTGGTCATTTCCTCTGCACATTTATCCCTTTCTTCGGATACTGCAGTAAAATTTTCAGAATCTTTAACAAGGTCAACATCACCCATCTCATTATCCCTATTTTCTGTGTCATCCAAGACACAAGCGATAGAATCAGGAGTACATTCACCAGTCTCTTGTCTTGTTTCACTTTCAATTGTGTCGTTAACATTTGTTATTTTAATACTGAGATCAGGCATTGCACTTCCGATAATAGTGTCAAGTTCTGGTGCGTTCAAGCTATTAGCACTGTCACTTTGTTTTGCAGAATCTTCTTTGATGCACGATTCACTACCTGTCATGACATTCTCATTGTCTGTTTGATTGTCAGGGACTTTATCAACTGTTTCAGCTGCATTCCAATCTTTACTGGCACACCTTTTCAGAACCATTGACTTTGCAATATTGCACACCTTTTGGTTAATATGTAAAATTTGATCCCCCTTATCAAATTTACTTGAGCTTTTCACAGGCCTTGTTTGATCTGACTGTTTTGATGTCATTTCTTTCAATATTTTCTCAAGGTCTTCCATTACTGCTGCTGCACTCTTTTCAGGAGGCTTATTCTTATTGTCATTAGTTTTTGATCTAAGTTTTGATTCAATATCCTTAGCTTCTATTGATGTATTTGGTTTACTTTTATCTGTGTAAATATTACTTTTTGATATTTTTTCACTTGATACTGCATATGATTGGGAATCTGCTATCTTTGAATCCAAAGGCACACTTTCTATTTCAGACTCCAGGAATTCTTCATCAGTTGTACTGCATTTCCTGTCTGGATTGTCCTCGTTCAAACCTGATCGCATATCCCCTTTTTCCTGACTTTCATTTCTATAATCCTTCATCACTGGAAAACCTGAACTGTCTAAAGACTCTTCACTATTTGTTTCAGTTTCGTTTCTGACCAATTCTATGTTCTCATCTGAGGAAATATCACAATTCTTAGTATCTTTCACACACATGGTATTTTCACAATCCGCTTCTTCTGTTGTAAAATTATCCCTCTTATCAAGTAATTCCTCTGGATCATTATCAAATTCACTTAATGTGCATACATTTTCAATAATTAATGATAAAGAATCGTTTTCATCATCACTATCAACATCCATATCTAATATTGCATGATTGTCTTCATGTTCAACTAAGCTCTCATTAAATTCACCAGATGATACAGTGGTGATTGGAGGCTTATCAACATTTGTATCATCAGCAATTTCACATTCACTGTCCCTTAAAAACCCTAATTCATTTTTAGTATTTGTATCTGTTAACTCTTCATTATCCATACCATTAACATTATCAGAGAGAACAGTTTCACTTTTACTATCGCAACTTTCAATATCTTCCTCTACCATTTCATCTGTTTCACGAAAGCCTTGATTATCTTCATTAACTTGAACAATGTAAGTGTTTTCACTTTCATTAGCACTAGTTTCAGTGTTATATTCTGATCTTTCTAATACTGGTGGGGATTTATCTATGTTACATGAAAAACTATCATTATCTGTAACAAAGAGTTCATCTTGAGCATAAAGGTTTGGAATAATGTCACTTGTCACTGTCAAACCAGCATCGGTGTCATTAAAATGTTCCTGCACATTTCTGGTGTGGCAATCTAAAGTCACTTCATCTAAATTATCTCCATACAAAATCTTATTCATTTCATCTTCATCAAAACATTCACTTTTAACAGATGTTTTTTTATTCTCATTAATAGGCGTATCTATAGGAGAATCTCTGCTTATTTCAATAGAATAGCCATTTATTGAATATGTTATTACTTTGTCTGTTTCATATTCTTCTAATGTCAGTTCTTCATCTATTTCTCTCAAAACATTCAATTCATCTTCATCTACATTTTTATTCACTTTTTGTTTTTTTAAGTCATGTTCTAAAGTATCACTTTTATGCAGATCTTTTGAGCTTGTTTCATTTTCTTCAGCAGTTGATGAATCAGATTTATTGTCTTTGCTTAAGGATGTATTTTCTTCAGACTTAGATTTATTGCTAGATTTTAGAGGGATTCTAAAATGTAGGATACTGGGTGGACTATTCTTTATGAAACTACTAGGAAATGTATTTATATTCTTTTCAATGTCTAAACCACCTTTCTTTCTTTCCACCATTCTATTGCTTGCTTCTTTTAACTTCTCTTTCCATTTCAACCAATCAGGCTTTCCTTTCTTTTTCAAAGAATTACTATGTGACTTTGAATCATTTTCTTTCTTCTTACTCTTTATTGCTTTACTATTGTAATTCTTAAAAATTTTCTCAAGGCCAACCTTTCCATTATTTGTACTTTGTAATGTTTTTGATAATGACATTACGCGAGGGTCAACTAAATTGTCAGTAACAATCCCTGAATTAGTACTTTGTACCTGCATCAAAGTTTTGTTGCTTCTAATCCCATTAACAGGAGTTTCACTCTCTGAGTCAGATTTCACTGTGGTAGTCCACGGTGAAAATCTTTTCATACACTCACTTTTAATTTTTGATTCAACACCATATGTTTCAGTGACTGAACGTACATGAGAGTTCGGAAGTTTCAGCCTCTTCAAACAAATGATTGGTTCTTTCTCAAATAAAAGTTTGATTGAATTATATTTTCGTTTAAGGAGATGGAGGGCACTTCTGGAGGTACAGTTCCAATTAGACGGTTTAAGTCTGTAATATCTTCTAAGGCAATGTTGATGAAATTGAACATCCCTGAGTTGTGATTTTCTTATTGGTGATATGGATGATTTTGATGAAGATTTATTTCCTGATAAACTGAGGTCTGTTTGCTCTGGCTGTTCATTTTTTACTAGGTTTTCTCAATGCAAAAGTATTTTCATCTGCCAAAGTGAATATTTTGATTTTATTCACTTCTTTAACACCATCCACTTCCTTTTTAACGAATGGTTTCCTATTCTCTTCTCTTTCCACTTTGACTTTACTTTTCAATTCATCAGCATGTTTATTTTTGGGTTTACTTTTCTTTTTATGTTTAACCTTTGAACTGTGACTTAGATACTTCTCCATTTTAGAAAGATAAAGGAATTTGCTTGGTATTTTCTTTTCCCGTTTTTTATTTGTATCAGAATAAAATTCTTTAACTGTCAATGGCTCACTAAAGAGGTCATTACTACTATAGTCTAAAAGCTTTTTCTTCAACTTTTTTTGTCTATTTTTCTCATCCTTCGAAAAAGATTTTGATTCGGTTGACATATCTGGTTTTCTAATCTCACTAGACAGTTTACTTAATTTAATTGGCTTGACACTTTTAATGTCAATTTCTTGCTTAATTTTAGTTTCAATATTTCTTTCTTCAGAAAGTCTTTCTTCCCTCCTTAGTTTAAGAATTGTTTCTCTCTGGCTTGAAATCAGAGCTGTTAGCTCTGAGGTCTTTACATCAGGCACTTTGTTGCTTAATGATTCGCTTGAATTAATTTCTTCTCTGTCATGTCTCTGGCTTGAAATCAGAGCTGTTAGCTCTGAGGTCTTTACATCAGGCACTTTGTTGCTTAATGATTCACTTGCATTAATTTCTACTCTGTCATGTAGAGTAGACCTACTCCCATCATTTTGTGCTTCAACATTACTTGATAATGGGTCCAAGTGACTTTGAATGTCAACACTGCCATTTACGTCTCTAGAAACATTAGATGGTTCTGTATCCGTCTTTAAACCATCAAACCTTGCGTCAGATGTATCATCATCTTTTGACTGGTTGTCTACCTGAACAATGCTTGTTTGGTTTTCATTTTTTATTGGAACCAGTCCTTGTTCATCATTACTTTCTGGGTGTGAACAACTCCATGCTGAACTTGTGTTGAAATGTTGTGAAAGGTTCGTTGAAGGATAATCCTGCTCCTGGGTAACATTTTTAGTCACTTCTGGTGTTAATTCCAAACTGTCCTGCTCTTTCAATATACATTTGTCTATCAAAAGGTTTTCATTGGGGTAGCTGATAGGAAAACTCTCAATGTTTTCATTTGTTTCCTTATCATTTATGTTCTTTTCACATGCTACAGTTACAACAAGAGTGGTATCACATCTGTTGTTAGTATCTGGGCAATTTTCGCTTTCAATTTCTGCAGCTGACTCACTTTCATAAACATCTTTGTTTACAAAAACGTTTTCACAAAAGTTACTTACAGGAAGCTTAAGATGATCTTTAGAAGATAAACTGAAGTCTACTGAATACTTCTGACTGGGGTTATCTTTCGCAAGCTGTTGCTGCTGTTGTTGCTGCTGTTGTTGTTGCTGTTGTTGTAGAGGCAAGACTTTGATGGTTGTTGATGACTGATGAGGAATCTGATCATGAAATTCTGATGGCTGTTTTGTTATAATTGACATATTAATGAAGTAGATGACTGCATGGAACTATGATGTTTTTCTATTTTATTCCCTGTACTATCTTGAATAGCTCCTGAAAATTTAAAAAGAGAAATTTATCATAACCAGTAACAGATGTAGAGATAAGAAGAAAACATTTTTTTATAGGTAATGGATATAGATAAATGTCAAAAATTCCTGTATATAATTTTGCTTGATATATTTCAATTTTTTTTTCTTTCGTATAGTGACTTTCCAGCTTTAATGATGAAGTAAAACTTCAGGTACCCCTCTGTGCCTCATGTCTCAGATGTGTTTTTCCTAGTATATGTCTATACAAGTCACGTGACCCCTGTGGCTGGGCCAATATTAAACCAAGGGGCATGATTTATCTCAGTAAAGGTCAGTAAGCAGTAAGCAATGCTCTAAGCTCTCAACATTGCAGTTTCACATAATGAAACTTAATAAATGTGTTTTCCTATAAAACAAGTCTATATAAATCAAGCTATCTCCAGGACATCTCAAGAAGCCCAAACCTGTGTTCTGCACAAGGTCTCATGATCAGAAACATCTCTGCCAAAAAGTTTTAATTTCTTAATCTATCAGTTCAAAAGATAAATGAGCTGCGTCACGACAAAACCAACATTTTAAGTGCGTTTGCTACCAGCATGGATCCAGACCAGCCTACACATCCGCGCAGTCTGATCAGGATCCATGCTCTTCGCTTACAGACCCTATAACAAGTAAACAAACTGATAGCGAACAGCATGGATCCTGCTCAGACTGCGCCAATGTGCAGGCTGGTCGAAATCCATGCTGGTCGCAAACCCATTATGTTGGTTTTGTCGTGATGTGGCTCAAATTTTGAAATTCATACAAAATAACTTTAGTGTGACTTTGATGGTCAAACCTGTGCTCTGACTTTGTCTCAGTATGATAAACATTTCTACTTTGTAATTTTAATTTACTAATTAATCGGTTCAAACAGATGTATAACATTTTGCGTCGAAATTCTTTTCAGGCTTTTTTAAAAAAAAACAACAAAAAAACTTTACTCTTTAGAATTTTTTTTTAAATATTTGCACGCAACTGTAACAAGACCTTTTACAATCTCCTAACTTTATCATATTTTCTTTTGTATATTTTACTTCAAAAATTTGACACATTCAAGTTACTCAATGAGGTGTCAGATGCTTTGTTTTGTTTTCTTTAAAATCATCAACGAAAATTGTAGTAAAGACATTATCATTTTCAATCTCAAATGCATAAAGCAACCTATCATAACAGCTTCAGTTAGTTTCTGACACAAAACACTATGGAGATGAGGAAGTTAAGTTAAGTATTTTGAGTGGCTTCTTAAAATTCAAAAGATATTAGTGTAACACTATGCTTTCAACAATATCAATTTCTGTGAACAATTACGCCTACGTAAATGAATGGTAGTTCTGAACAATTCCTTCAAACTCTGCTTAAAGATACTAAGAGACAGTAAAGTGTCCGCAACATTGTCACTATAGGGGTTGATATTAATTGTTGACTTTCAAGGTTGATTTGTTTGTTTCATTTTACGCCTTTTCCCCAACAGTATTTCAGTCATATAGTCGGGTAGTTTCCTAACCCTCGTTCCTGAAGAGTTACACCAGTACTAGACTACAAACCTCCGTGCTAAACTACCAAAGCATCTCCAGGGGATAATCCCACGCCAGAGAGTTAACTGGATTAGAAGTAATCGACTCTAACCCCTCGACCATGAAGGCTGTTTTAAAGGTTGAAATTATTCATCAAAATATTAGTATACCATGAATTTTGTGTTCTAAGAAATCACATCTAATCTATTTAACTCTATGACTGGCAGTTGCTATGATGATTTGATTAACTCATAATGCCTCTGTGGTAACAGCAGTTTAACCGTTACCTTGCTGGAACCAAAAGTTATTAAGCATTTGTCACCAGTATAGAGCCAGGCCAGCCTGCACATATGTGTGTGCAGTTTGAACAGACTGTACCCTGTTAACAGACTAAATCTGAATCAACATCCTGATATTTTAAGAATACATTTAAACCAGAACTGTACAATCATGCAGGACAGAGAAAGCTATATACTGTTGGCTGACCAATTTCAATTTTCATGATATCACTAAAATCCATCCTAGAATGTATGGAAAAACATGTCCATTCTGGAAAATTTGCAATTTCAAATATATTATAATCAGTTCAAATATTTTATTTTTATTCTGCTTTTTTTCTTACTTTTTTTAAAATAGATGTTATCTTTGAGGTCTGTCAGCCAACTAAACCTGCTTTAATTATCCCTTGATAATTGAAAAATAATTACCAACTTCTCCGCAAGCGACCTGAACTATTTATATCCTACATTATAACAATATAATTCACAAACCATTTCAAACAATAAACCATTCCAAAAACAAACAGTTCAAATCACCAGCCGAGCTGCAGCACACTGATATTATTAATATAACAAATGAAAATTTGATGAGGAAAGTAATAGGTTTATAATTACTCCTGTGATCAGATAATGACATGGTTATTAAACATTAAAATGTTTTTTCCTAAAATATATCAGTCCTTGTCATGAATAGCCCTTGAATTAGAACAACAAAGGAGAGCGCGTTCCCTGCTTCAAAGTATAGAACAGGAAGTAGATTTTCAAGTGTTTTGTCGGATCTTTTTCTTTCGTACAAGGATCTCAAGTACTAATGACCATCTGGAAGTTTTTAAAAGCATACAATATTCATTGCAGTAATGTCGTGCATATCATACACCTCCTTATTGACCACTTAAAGCTGGATTGTCATTGTTTTTTTCAAATATTAAAGGGATTTCACTGAGGTTTTTTTCGATGTTTTAAAGGGGTCTTGGGGTGATTTGGACCTTTTGTGACAGGACCGGAAAATAATTTTCTAGATTTGCATACCATTTGATGTAGTTCTAGACCAATATCCTTTGATCATTCCCTCACTCCAATGTTCCAGAATAATAATTTCTATTGCTCAAAATGGACCCATAAAAGCGAAAAGTAGTGTTGCAATGCTTTCGCTCAATTCAGGCCAAATGAATTCAAAATTGCACACACAAAAAAAAATGATCTTCATTTAAATTCATAGCATATCATATTATATTTTTTCTTTATTATCTTTTGAAGATTTTTCAATTGTTATTTACATATTCTCTTGATCTATGTAGGAATTTCAAATTTTATTATGACTTTAGTAGAGCACCTTTAAGTAGATGCACATTTGAGCCGCATCACGACAAAACCAACATAATGGGTTTGCGACCAGCATGGATCCAGACCAGCCTGCGCTTCCGCGCTGTCTGATCAGGATCCATGCTGTTCGTTATCAGTTTCTCTACTTGTTATAGGGTTGGTAAGCGAACAGCATGGATCCTGATCAGACTGCGCAAATGCGCAGGCTGGTCTGGATCCATGCTGGTGGCAAACGCACAATGTTGGTTTTGTCGTGACGCGGCTCATTTATATATAACAAATATTTATCTGCACATTTGCATATGTCACAATGAACTTGCTATGCACTAATTCTTTGTAATTTTGTTAATATATTCGTAACAAATGAGATTTGTAATTTTCACATGTGCATAGAATTTTGAATTTAAGACTTCAATTAGAATATAAAGCTATATGTAATTGCTGCGATTTTAAAAGAAGAATACTTTCAAAATGCTTGTATGAAATAAATATGGAAGTGTAACTGCCCTAAAAGTGAATGGGGCACAAAATCATTGCTAAAACACAATTAAAACGGCTCCTTAAAATAGCAGCATTATATTTTGTTCCAGAACATTCTAATATATTTATGAACAATATTCATGTGTGTTCAAATGTTCAAAAAAATTTTCAACAGAGACAATTTCTAGATTACAACTTTTTCGAAAACCAACGGTAAGGTTAGGAAAAGAAACATTATAATCTTACTGTGGCTAAATTTCATGAAAACTTTTTTATAAATTATATAAACCTCTATACCCATTAAAGATCCTGTATGTTGTAATTAGGTTGTATACCACACTTAAGTGTATACATGTATATAATTATGCTGCTAAAACCATTTTTCAAGCATCGAAGAATATGTAAAATAATTGTACTGCAAATACTTGTCCACATTATATGTAATCATTAAAATATAAGCATTCATTACTTATTTAAAAAATTTGACTTCGACTTTATAGAAAATAAATTTCTTATTACCTCCCTTTATCAACATGAAATGTAAATTCGGTAATATCTTTACTAATAATGCTTTTTGGAACTTACAATATTGATAAATCTTCATTTGAGCATTATATTTATGATATAAAACCATATAAGATATGAGTTACAGGATCATTATTGTTGTACATCATGTATAGATTAAAGTTTATTATATACTCCTTAATGAAATATTGAGAAATATTGATGAAATAAAATGCGTATTTTCATTTTCCGTATTTTCACTGTAAAAATTTATTTTTCACTGCAGTGAAACATATTTTCCGTATTTTCACTGGTGTCTTGCCGGACTACTTTCTTTTAAATTCTGCCAGTACACAAAATTTAAGGGAAAGTCTTTTAAATTTTATCGCAAAAAAGAGAAAAATGTATATAATAAACAGAAAATTCAAGTTTTTTCTATCAATACATGATTTATTTTTATCTTGTGGCATGAAAATTACCATATTTCACTCGTGGCTACCGCCACTCATGAAATATTTATTTTCATACCACTTGATGAAAATAAATCATGTATTTATAGAAAAAACTTGAATATCCTCTATTTATTAGTACGTATTTACAAAAATAAATTGGTCAGGTGCGGCACAGCTGCGCGACCAATTTATTTTTGTACATACGTACTAATAAATTTTAACCGGCTTAGTGTTTTTAATTATTTTTATAAACAGTCGATTTACTAGACTGATTAACAATGTGTTACGATTCATTTGAAATACTGCGATCCTATTGGACAAAAAATAATTCAAACACTAAGCAAAACACCAGATCATTTCATATACTATAAAGACTGAGTTTCATTTGAAAATTATGCACACACACAAAAAAAATTAATGAATAAATAAATAAATAAATTCAAGAAAATAATCCTCAACAAATAAAAGGCTCTGTATAAAGAAATGGTTGTTAGGTACATCAATTTCCCCAATGGTTTCAGGGTTAATTTATTTAGTTTAGGTAAATAGCAAAATTTCAATTAATCAGATTAAAGATACAATGGTCATTAATTAACATGCAAAGAGGTTTTATACTATGCAATAAGAAGGGTGTCCAAAAGATGATATTAGAATAAACAAAGGGCTGGTGTTAAAAAAACTTTGATTATAAAGATTCAACAGGAAATATTCTAAAAAGGAAAGCCAAAAACTTGGGAAATTATTTAATCAAAATTAATTAATCCCAAAAAAAGAATATATTCAAACATTTGGTTCATAATTATTCCAAAACTAGTCAATTTCAAAAATGATAATTACAAAAGTATAATACACATTCTGTTAAAAGTCAGGAAGCAATTTTAAAATAATCTTACGTCATAAGACATGGAAAATAATAATATTATTGGTTAACCATTGAATATATCTTATTTTAAATCAATTCATTAACTGTTCAATACTTTTAGTGGTGTTTGAGAATGAATTAAACAAATATATTATCTCCTTAGTGCAATAATCGGTTGCAATAGCCGGTTAACTCGTATTAAATATAGAAAGACTTAACCCATTACTACACTAAGGCGATGATTATGATAAACTAACTTGATCAAAGCTTTAAAGACAAAAAATTACAATATATTCTATAATTTGTTATTGTTATGGGATCATGAGTAATATTGTTACCACTTGTACAACATAAACTTTAAATAATATAATAATTATTATAATTATTATATATTACATTTGAGCCAGTTCAAACTGCCCCATCAGGTCAGACTGCAATACTGGCGGCAATTAGGCTAATTTAATCACTTCCCGTTCCAGAAGAATAAGAATTAACCTGCTGAATTTCTTAACTAGACTTGTCCAGCTTCCACGTTTGGAATAGTTCAGTATCAGTGTTGGCAGATGATATTAAGATGGAAATGTAAAGTCGATCAGTCAACAGTATAGTCAGCCTACATGTTAAGACTGCTGAGTTGTGCAGGCTGGCCTGGCTCTATAATGGTGTCAAAGGCTAATCATTTCTGGTTCCAGCCGGTTTTTAAAGATTAAGCTTAAAGGTAGCTTTTAAGTATGAAAGTATAAACTTACTCATCTTAGAATTATCTCAATATTATAAATTCCATTCAAGTCCACTCTCGTGTGAATTCATGCGTATATAACAATATAACTGGTTCCCTTTCACTTTAGGCTATACTGTGCTGATTGAATATTTTATAAATGCAGCAGACTGCATGTAATTCCAGACATATTTTCAATATTGAATACAACCTTTAAGTGCTATAACTGGTTAACTCAAACAAAAATTAAGAAGGACTTAGCCTGTTACAGCACTAAGGTGACAAATTTTCCATACATCAAAATGCACATTTTACATAAAGGGTTAAGTTTTTACATGCCTTTAACTCTTTGATAATATGCCACACAAGTATAAAATGTCACCAGCCATCATAAAAATTTAATCAAGTCAAAACAAATAACCATTCATCAATTTGTTTAATTCTGAGTGCTGTGGCAAGAACAATTATAAGTTAGGACAGTCTGCAAGTCTGTACAAAAATAACAAACTGTAGGCTGTCAGAGAATATTCAAATTATTTTATACTCATCACTCAAAGGGTAATTATCTTTAACAAGTGAGCCACAATGGCCTTAAATAGTCCACCTGCATACATCCCGTCCATTATTCCACAAAATTATAAAAGAAACCCCAGTTTCATCAAAATCTGCTCACTGTTACTGGAGACTATTACAGCATGACTCTCACTTGAGTTTTTTTATTTTGTTTTTTCGTTGGGTTTTATATCGCACCAACACGGTAAAGGTCATATGGCAACATTTCAGCTTTACTGGTGGTGGAAAACCCCTGACTTAGATGCCCCTCCGTAAGTGCATTTTTCTGGCAAGAACGGGCACCTGAGTAGAACCACTGCTGATCTGTAAGCTAGCTGGATAGCTTCCTCCCATGAAATAATCCAAAGTTCCTTGTGGGATTTGGACCTACAGCTGCAAGGGGCAAGTGGTTTGAAGTCAATAACCTTAGCCTCCTGGCAATGGAATCTTAACTAAACAAGAACATTAAGCCAGAATATCATGCAGTTACATTGATGGATGCTACAGACAATTTTTTTGTCCTGATGACCTAGTCAATGCACCATTGACACTTGAGTGTTAGATTTCCTTTGAAGGTACAAGGTAAACTGTATGAATTATCCTACTAAAACCGAAAGTGAGTGATTATCCTTCCCGTAAAGACTCAGGCTTGCCTGCACATTCCTGCAGTCTGACCAGGCTCTATACTGTTGCTTGTCAAATTTTTATATTCTGATACTAAATCATGCTTATTGTCATGAACATTTTTGAAAATGTATTTAAAAGTAAAATACTGTGAAGGTGAATAAATAAATGTTTAAAATTTACCGGTTGACATTGCACATAACTTGAAAATTATTACTTGAATCTTTTTTACTTT